TCTGCTCCTTCCCTTTGGCACATCACAGAGGAGCATTTCTGAGTGTCCTGAGATTGCTTCAGCCTAATTGAGCAGCAAACTGTTCATTATTGGCTTTGTAAAACACCCACAACAGGAGCAATTCCAGAGCTTTTTCATAGGCAGGAAGGGAAATAGCAGCAGGTGTAGGAATGAATGCTGAGCTTTTGTCAATCTTCTCTCAGGAAAAAACACAACATTCCTGTTTTCTTGTGGAATCCCAAGTATCTCTCCCAAACCCTTTTAAGTAGAGCTGCATTTAGTGAAATGCTCTAAAAACTAACCACTCTTTCAACCTTGGAACATGCATAACATTAGAGATTTTTTTTTTATACTGTAACCTGGGGGCTGTAATGTACTGATAGTGTAATGAAATGTCAGAGCTAAAATTGATGTTTTCAGCATTTCTTTGCACATATCAAATTCTTGTGAAACTGTAAATGTATGGGACTATTAATATTATAATTATATCCCAGTAAAAGTAAAGGGTCTGTGACATTCAGCGTGGTTAAAGAAAAAAAGTCGAAAGTCAAATTTCTCCAGACTGTGAGCCTTGATATTTAATTCTTTGAATGTTTTGGGGTTTTTTCCTGTAGTCTTATATATGTATTTTTTTAGTAGATTCCAGTTTACTTATAAACCAAATCACTAATAAATCATTTAAAAAGCAGAAGGCAAAGTTCATCCATTTATACATTTATATATATAAATAGAAGAATTTGATATTTCTAGGTGCTAATTTGTGGCTTGTTATATGAACTGAGGTCAAATAAAGAGATCTAATGAGTTAAAAATAGTATTTTTGTCAGCAAACTTAACCTTTATCATCCATATACATGACAGAAAATGGTTATAAACAGAAAGAAATAAAGTAATGACTATGAATTTCATTGGAAGTTATTGTGGGATTTGGTTTTGTGGGTTTCATTGTTTCTTCTAAATAGCCAGACATTGTCATCTTGGCTTGGGAAAATGTGGTGCCAAGACATCCATGGACAATACAGGCTGGATCTTGGTATCCAGTGTTTAAAAACAAATTAAAATCCCACCCATGTTGTCTGCAAAATCTAGATAAAATCTCCTAAACAAATGTATCAGATTTACAGACAGGTTTTAGAGAAGTGAACGTGAAGTATAGAATAAAATATGTCTGTCTAACAAGGTTTGCCTAGATATTAATTAATATAATATTTTTTATTTATGTATCAACAGTGCAAAGAAACTACAAAGAAGGTCTCAAGTAAAAGCTTCCACAACAGAACCACTGAGTAACTGTACAGTTACTTTTATCTGCATGAATGCAGCCTATTAGGCTTGTGCAGTTAAAATATAAATTGATCTGAGTCCAAACAGTTTATAGTACCTGTGTTTGTCACAAAGGGAAGGTGTCTTGAATTTAAAAAAAAAGAAAAAACCATAAAAACCCAAACAAACAAAAAACTCCTATCACAAACAATTAAAATCAACCTGTTTCTAAAAAACCAAAGTAATTTCTTTGTTAATTGTTATTTTTTTTTTAATGAATGGTAAGTTAAGTAGTTTTGTGTTTGCACTTAGAAAAGCTGTTGAAGAAGCAAGAGACCCTGAGCTGCAAGGAGTAACAGTCTATGTTGCCCAGGATTGTACAGGTAACTCTGAATTTGTAGATTTTTGCAAGATTTTAAATGCTTTTTATGCTTTTCAGTTAGCACTTAACAATAGAGCTTTAAAGGAAAAAAAAATCCCAGTGAAGTGGATCCACAAAATTGAGATTATGTAGACAAAGGGGTTCTTGAGATGTGCAGATTGTTCATTGCTGGTTTGGTGTTTTATAGTGGAATTCCAAATCAGCAAATCTGTTATTGCCTCTTCTCCTTTTGCATGGAGATCTTTCTGTTAGTTGGAAGCTTTCAAGTTTTAATTATTCCTTTTAGAAGTTTATATGCAGCAATAAATATTTATTGGCTTTTTCCTGACCTGCCCCTTCTGCATTTCCTTGGCATTGCAGCTCAGCAGCAGCAATTCCCATTCCACAAAATATTGCTGGGAATGAGGAGGCTGAACTGGTTCTGAGTCACCTGGGTGTTGAGTTTTTGGGGTTTTTTTCCTTAGGGTTGGGATTAAATGTGTAAGATTGTACTTTTTGTTTGGATTTAGATGTTTATTAGTTCTTATTTATATTGCAGTCTTATAAAAAGTGTGAGTTTTATAGTGCTTTAACAGTTTTGAAATTGAGTTTTATAAGGTTTTTTAAGGATAAACTGTCTAATTAAGAAATGATACTTAAATTATTTTTACTTTTAACTTAATAGCTAACTACCTGTGCCTCGTAATGTGGACTTTTTTTTATATAATTACACAATATTGCTGAAACTGATGAAGAAGGTGAAGAAGGACTAGCTACTGCTCTAAGACCTGTATCTTGCTATATATATATGTATTATTATATTCTAAAACTTTACATTTTCACCATGTGGTATTACACATTTCTACTCAAACTCTTTACCTGTAATTCTTGTAATTCAATTTTGGGAGCTTCTCCATGGCTTTGGGTTAAATGCAGTGTTCTCTTGGGGGTCAGTGCCTGGCAGCACAGACAGTGTGACATTCTCAGCACCTGGGCTGTGTTTTGGGGGGACAGCCAGGTTTGGAGGGGCTCTGTTTCAGTTTGTCACACTGAGGTGCCCCGTTGGAGGTGTGGTGTCACAGACATTTTTTCATAGAAATCTTTTCTTTCACATTTGTTCATCTTCTAAGAAGCAGAGCCCCAGAAGAAGAATGTAAACAATTGTTATCAGCTGCTGTGAAATGTAGCAGTGTCTCTGTGATTAACTCATCTTCCATGTGTACCATTAAGGGCCAATCACAGGAGCAGCTCAGGGACAGATTCCCTGCACACAGAACTTTGTTATTCATTCCTTCTATTCTATTCTTAGCTGAGCAGCTCTCTGCAACCTCTCTTCTTTTTCTTTGTAGTATAGTTATAATGTATTATATATCATATATCAATAAATCAAGCCTTCTGATTAAGAAACAAGATTCTCGTCCTTCTCTCACCACAGTGACCGTCTAAAGTCACTGTAATAGTGTGGCTGTGTTTGAAATGTGAATATTTCTGTGTGTCTCAGTGTACAGCTCGGATGTTATTGACAGGCAGTGCTCCTGGCTGGGCTCTGGGAGAGCAGCCCCCAAAGCTGTGATTGTGCTGGTTCCTGTCAGACTCGGTGGGGAGAGAACAAACACTGACTACCTGGAGTTTGTAAAGGTATGAAAATGAGAGTTCAGTCATTTCTCCCAGAGTAGCACAAGGGGATATGAAAAGCAACTTCACGAGGGTGATTCTCCCCATTAAACCTGTGGTGGGGATTTTACAGTTGAAGGTTGTAAAGTTTGACTTTACAGATTTGAAATTTCCCTATTACAAGATCAGACATAATTGCAGAGCACATGATGTCCCTTGGTAAAGCTGTGATAACTGTCCTGCTCCTCCAGCAGCACCTGAAAAGACATTAATGCAGTGCCTCAAATTACAAATGGTAATTTAATCTAGCAGGACTCTAATAGCATATGTAACTAAGGATCAGGCAGCATTTTAAAATATGAATACACTCCATTCCTTGCTCTGTTTCTTATTTTCTTAAATAAGAAAATGGTTCAAGTGGTTTTAAGTTGTTGCCTGTCTGTTCTTCCCGTTTTCTTTTGTCTCTTGGTTCCCATGGAATTATTTGATATTTTTATTCACTACCTGAATGGTTTTTTCCCTGTCTGGGTGAGTGTTTCTGAGGATGGTGGTGCAGGAGTAGCAAGCAGTTACCACAATAAAAATGAGCTGGGAAAAGGCAAACTGAAGGAGAAGGCAGAGGGGGGAGGTTTTGTCACAGAGGTTCTGCAGGTACCTGGGGATGTGCTGTAATCCTCCCTCTTGCTCCTCTTAGGGAAGGCCTTGTTCCCTTAGCCCTGCTGCTTTTATTTCATTGTCCATGCTCCTCTTGATCTGTCTGAAAATTTGGGGTTCATTTTGAATTTCCCCCAGTGCAGGAGCATGGACAAAGGCTGAGAGTCTGTAACATGATTTATTTTGTGCCTCTCTGTTCACTGTAACATTCCAGGAAAACATTTTGATTTTTACTGGCATGGGAAGACAGACTGGTAAAGTCCTTCAAGTTATGAACTGAAATTGTTATTAAATTTTTCCCTGATTATTTTCCTTGTGTTTCAGCCAGCTGGTTTGGGACAGTTTTGGTTTTCAGCTGGCTGCAGTGAGTGATTCCTGCTCTCCCCTCCCTGATGGAGGCTGAGATAAGAGGGCTCTCAATTGCCTGAATCAGTCACTCCAGTGTCTCCCTGGCTGTTCCAAGAAGTGACCACATTTCTTGGAGTCTGCCTTTAAGTTAAAAATGCAGATTTTAGAATGTAGCACAAGAGGTAATTTCTACAAAGGGTTTTATATTTATGGGTGAAAATTGATAAATTTTTTATAATTCACTTTTACAAGGAACTTGCCATAGATGAAACAGTTATCCATTACTCTGAGCAGCTTTGCTCCCTCTCTGCTCTGCCCTCCTGGGCTCTGGAGCCTTTGCCTCTGATCTGCCTGAATGTTCTGTGGTGCTCAGAGCATTTGCTAAGGAAACCTTCTCATTTATATTTTAAAGAAGTTTTCTAAGGAAACCTTCTTGTTCATATTTTAAATAAGCATCACTTCCTTAACCTGTGTAAACCATGCTGGATTTGACTCTGTAGCATCTCAGGGGAGGTTTTTAAGTGACTTTATCCTTGTCTAAGCAGGGAAGGTTTTCTCTTGAGAAGCCTTGGTGTTTGTAGTCTGCCAATATCAATCTTGTTGTTGAAAGAAAAATTCCCTTCTTACACTGAGAAATGTCCCCTTCCCAGAAGTTCAGCCTTCAGAAGGTTCTGGTTCCTGTGCCCCCAGGCCTGCAGGGATGTTTATGGGGCCTGGCTGTTTTTGTGTTTCCTCCCTGGATGTGGGGCAGCTGCTTTTGGAGCTGGTCCTTGTAATTAATTGCTCTTAATTTCAGCTGGCATTTCTGCCCAGGATGTAAATTTGATGCTGTGGCCAGGTTTGTCCCTTTTAGTGCAAAAGGAAGAGTCCCCAGGGGCACAGGATGTAAATGTGTGTGAAAGCTGAAAATCTCAAACATTGGGATGTTTGGACTGAGGGACTGGTGCTCAATATGTGAAATGATATTTTGTCTCCTCCCCAAACACCTGTGTGGTATCTCATGGGAAGTCTCTGGAATATCTGCTGGTTTCACTTTGCTCAAGCCTCAGGAAGTCCTGGAGCCAATCTCTAAAAAAAACCAAAACCATTTGCCTAAAAGAGCAAAGAGCAATTATTTAAATTCAGTTTAATATTTGGTTAATCTCAATGATTCCCTGTTCTTGTTTTAGGGAATTTTGAGCCTGGAGTACTGTGTTGGCATCATTGGTGGCAGACCCAAGCAATCCTATTACTTTGCTGGATTCCAAGGTGAGTGTTTGACTGTGTTATGTCTCCTCAGTATTTTTTTCTCTCAGAGTTAGGAAGTTAATACAGAAGCAGTGGGAAATAGCGTGATTAAAATAGTAAAATGAGCACCTTATTAATTCATCACATCTCCCCAAGTCCAGCCATTTGTCATTTACCCCACGGAGTAATTGGATTCTGTAAAATGTACATTTAATTTCCCTTGTTGCATAAACAAGGCATAATTTATCTGTTTCACCAAACTTGAGGAGCGTTTGCTGTTCCTGCCTGGCAGTTCTTATTTAGGTATTTACTCTCTCCTGCTTTAAGTGGTGTTAGTTGATGCCTAAATGACAAGCAATATATTCTTGCTGTCAGGATGAAGCAGGGCGATACATTTTTCATATGCAAACTCCAGAATATAATTGTGTGTTTGTAAAAGTAATTTTAGCACCAAAAATTAAATGACAGTTTCATCACTTTATAAAAATTCTGCTTATACAAGCATATTTGATTATGCAAAAGTTAATCTGTCCTGCAAAAACCTATGCTTCAGTCAATGAGTATCAGCCTGGCAAGCAGTTACTCACTGCCTTTTTTTCCAGCTGTTCTGCATAGAAATTGGATTGTAAGCAGTGTAATAATAAGGTGTTTTTTGAATTACTTGTCTTCTGTTTTGTCCTTGCAGATGACAGTTTGATTTACATGGATCCTCATTACTGCCAATCTTTTGTAGATGTCAGCATAAAGGATTTCCCTCTTGAGGTACTATGGATATAGAGCTGGCACTGTTTGCTTCCCATATGAATCAAACACTAATTATTTAGAGCTGTTCTAGCTAGCTGCAGCTTTATGGTTTTACAGTTACATGTTATTTATCAATGTCCTGCCCTTCTTTATAGGCCTATAATCAACAAAAATGACCAGAGGTTAAATCTCAATATGGAGGTTTAATTTTTACTTCATTAATCTTCATCTGTTTTCTTTTTAATGATCATAAAATCTCCAAAATAGATGATCACTTCATTTAAGTGATTTTCCATCAAAGAAAATAGATGATATTTGTAGATCTTAAACCTGTTTGGATTTGGAGTTGATCAGTTTGTCTTTTTGGTCATTTTATTTATTTTTGTTTTTAATTCAAATTGCAAGCAGCATTAGGGAGAATTCCTGTGGTATTCAATAGTAGGAGCCTGGAAATAGATGGAGCTCAAGGAGGTGATCAGAGAACTCAATTTACAGCTGCCCTGGGAAAGCTCTGTCAGCTGCAAGGAAGGGCTCAGAGCCTTCCACACAAACCCTCCTTGGTCCTGTGCCCAGCTCCAGGTGAACTCCAGCAGCTCCTGGCTCAGCCTCAGGGGCATCCCCAGCCAGGGCAAAATCCCATCAAATGCTGTTGAGGAGAACTATTCATATAAAAATAAAAAATCCCAAAGGGCCTGCACAGGGCTGGTGTCAAGGCCTTACAGCAATCACTTCATGTGTGTCATTATTTGTGCTTAACAAAATGCCTGAGTTAGGATGTTCCATAGCACAGAAGGGGAGGATTCTGTAGGAAATGAGAAGGTTCTGGGTGAAACAGAAGAGCCCAGCAGCAGAGTGGGTCAGCAGATAGCCCAGGCAGGAGGTTGGGTGTGCTCAGAGATTCCTTCAGGTTTGTCTGGAGCAGGAGTTGGTGAGTGCCAGCCCTGCCTGGGGTGATCCCCAGCTCCTTCCCTTTGTCCTCACAACTCTTTGGCTCCAGAGCCCCTGAAGATTTTACACTTTGGGCAAAAGCAGACAAAAGGTGGGCAGAGCACAGAGCAGCAGAGCTGAGGTGAATTCCTGAAGGTCCCGCTGTGGCCAAGCTACAAAAACATCTTTTGGGTTCTGTTCCTCCAAGCTACAAAAACATCTTTTGGGTTCTGTTCCTCCAAGCTACAAAAACATCTTTTGGGTTCTGTTCCTATGACTCAGCCTCAAAATTGTGCTGCAGACTGGCATTAATCTGAATTTCTAAATAAAACCAAGGTTTTAAGCTGTGTTTGGAAGGTATGCAAGCTGCCAGCTTGGCTTGATCTCATCCTAATGCTTTCCTGCAGACGGAAAATAGATTGCAATTTAATGCTTGCTGCATTTAATAGTATTATATCTTTGTCCAGAAATGTCAAAAGTAAACAGAAATTGCTTTCTTAGTGTGGATAGTTGCTTGTTAGATTTATCTGTAGGGAGTATTTTCAAAATTGACAAATTGTCCAGAATAAGTTGGAAATCAATCCACTCTGTATTGGCTTCCAGCATCCATTTGTTTGGAGGAATGGGAAAAAAAATCCTCCCCACTTCTCTTTGTTGTGCAGTGATTTGTGCAGCATTAAACCTCCTGCACAACTGTAGGGACAGGGCTGCTGCTATGGCATCTGGAAGGCAGGGTTTAATTTTATTTTTTATTTTTTTATGCATTTGAAGACTCAGGAATTAATATTAAAAATACAATTGCTGTTTATAAAATTGGAACGGTGAGGAGAAAAAGCAGTGACTGAAATCAGTCTTGCAGAAATAGCCCCAATCATCTTGGTGGATGTTTTTTAGCAGAGGTTTTACAGAAATACCTCTTGGGTTTGTGATCACCAGGAAAGAACAATATATTTTATTATGTAAAACTGCTGCAGGGATGGTTACACTCGGATTTGGGAACCAGGGCTGTCTTCTGTAGATTGATTTTTTGTGATTAGCAAAAAAAGAGATTTAATAGAGGGAGGATGATGGGTCATCCTCTGTGTTGGAGGCAGAGTGGAGGGGACTGGCTCCCTCTGAGAGCAAGTGAGGAAATAATTGCAGTATTGGACAAAGAGCTTCCCCACAACTGCAGCTCCTGTAATAAATAACCACAGAATCAGGAGAGATGGAATATATATTTTTTTTTCTTTCATAAACTGAGTGAGGAGCGTGGGGAGGGGGTTTTGTGTTTGTTTTGTCTTTCAGCAGGGCTGCTGAAAGTATCAGCTCACAGCATCTGTCAGGGAAAGAGATTTCACGTGAGGAAAAACCCATTTGTAAAGCAGGGCATGTTTGGTTTTTCCCTACTTGTGGATCATTGTAATGTGGTTTTGCTTTTGTGTGTTTTGTGGGTTTTTGAACCCATTTCATTTACTGAAGGGAAATGCATGAGGTTGGTTTATTCCATTATGTCTCTTTTATGGAGGCTGGGGGAGGGAAGGGGCACTGGGCAGTGGTAGTAAAGCAGTAAGATAGTGCAAAAGCTGTTACAAATTCAATTTGCTGAAGAGCATTCACCTTCTCTGCCTTGGGAATATTCATAAAGTATTGCTGGGAGCAGCAGAGCTGTGACAGATTCCAAACTAACCCGGGGTGTGTGTGTGTGGGGAAGTTTGGGGAATGCAGCCTGAGCAGCAGGAGGCTGGGGAAGGGTGGAATCATTTCAGTGTTTGGGGAGGGAGGGAGAAATCCCTTCCAAAGGCTGTGCTGGGTTTGATTCAGGTGCTGCAGGGCATTGGAGGCTTTAAGCTGTTGGGGGGACAGAAGTAAACACATGGATCTGTGCCATTCCTGACTGTCACCGTGTTTTGTGTTTTTTAACTGGGAAACCTGCAGTCATTCCACTGTCCTTCTCCCAAAAAGATGTCCTTCAAAAAAATGGACCCGAGCTGCACCATAGGATTTTACTGTAGGACTGTGCAGGACTTTGAGAAGGCGTCTGAAGAAATCACCAAGGTAGGCGCCTGCTGGAGTTGCCAAACCATCCCTGGGCCAGAGCGGGGTGTGGGGCCGAGG